AAATATTTTGTTAGGAGAATGTGGATAATAGTTACACACACTGAATTTCCATAATTTCAATCCTACCCTAATTTAAAATAAATGAATTTTCAACCAGGTCAAAAAGAGTATCAGGGTTCTGCGGGTTAGCTCAGTTGTTTAAGCGCCTACTTATGCAAATGCAGTCAGGCGCAGGATACTGTGGTTTGATCCCCAGCTCCTCATAAAAAAAAAAAAAAAAAAAAAAGAATATCATTTGGCCAACCAAGAGTCCCTACAACTAATAGTTTTAGCAGTAAAACAAGAAAATTCATCTCCAATAGTATTAAAAGGGACAATCAGGTTCTAATATATGTCTTCTTTTATAAAAAATGTGGGCTTCTTTGACCTAACAGGAATACAGCTAACAAAGGCTAGTGTTTAAAAAAACCATCTATTAATGGGAGAAAAATTTACAAAAATTTTAACTTTTTAAATACAGCAACTTTAAATAAATCCTTAAAGGATAATGGCTTACAGTAATTTCAAGAATTTTAAGAACTCAGTTTTTTGGACAAAAGTCTCATAACTTTTTTACTCTGCCACAAGTGATCAAAGAATCTTACTCTAGAAGTAGATCTTTATAATGAAATAGCTCATTATTGTAACAATTGCTAGCAGCAATCTTACAGCACATATTGTACTTTAAAAACATCACAAAACATCATTGTATAAAATTACTTTCATTAGTTATGGCATATGATCAAATTTTAGTGTGTCACTTCAATTATACTACAGTAGTGTTTTAGAAAATAAGGGAGGTCTTCCCACAGTGCAAGACTGTGGCCACTGGGGATAGAACATAGGGCCTTAGACATCTAGGTAAATGGTCTACTTCTGAGCAGCCCCAGCTAGGAAAATAACTTTCTTTTACGAGTAATTCAGTATAACACAGGCTTGATGAATACTGTTGTCTCCTGTTATCAGGACACAGTAAACTGTAATCCAGTGGCCTGCAAAGGATTTGCACGTTTCTATCCAACAAGTAAAATTCTCTGTTTCTACAGGAAAAAAAAAAGCCTTGAATTTTCACTTTCCACACGTGTGTTTTCTGTGATAAGAAAAACCTCTGAGAATCTTACCTGTATCAATGAAGAAAACACTGCTGCTCTGGGGAAAACAGGCAGCAGACTACAAATTTTCCTCCAAAAAGCTGCCTAGCTGAGAAAACCCAAAATCCACCACTTAGGCAAGCGCCTTCCCATGAAAATCACTGAACACTTCAAAAATCATCAGACTTTCTATTACCTTTAAAAGATTCTTGCTTAACTAACTGATGTTTATGCAGACACACATTTATATTCAGGTCCCAGAGATCAAAAAAAGACGTAACTAGTGTGACAAAGAAGGGCTCTTTCTTTAAAGTAAGTCCAAAATCTAAGACACTCCTGGAGATTAAGTTCAATAATTATCAAGACAATCCTGCTTCCTCAGGAAGGAAAAAGAGTATTAATTTATTTTATGGGTGATAATGATCCAAGTACAAGTAAGTAAATGATTAGAAGTATAAAGAACACTAGTGTACTGCTGCAGGCCTGTGATCACTGCTGTTTGGGAATATGAGGCAAGGGGCTCAAATTTGAAGCCAGCCTGGCAACTTATTGAGACCCTGGGACCGGGGCGATGGCTCAGTAGAATAAGCGCTTCCCTGGCAAGTGCAAGGGCCTGAGTTCAATCCCCAGTTCCGAAAAAAAAAAGATAAAAAAATGAAAGGGCCTTGAAAAGAAAAAACAAAAAACAAATGGATCAGTCAAGTACTAGATTCAAGCCCCATCTGGGTTCAATTCCCAGTCTTACAAAAGGAAGAGAGCAAAGGAAAAAAAGAAGAGAGAAAAAGAGGGAGGGTAGGCAGCAAGGAGGAAAAGAAGGAAAAACTGAAATGGGTCTCAATTAGTGTACTAAGTTCTCTAAAACAGTCTGTCTGTTTGGATAGGATTTTATTTTTATATAAACTTTTTCCTGCAAAAGGACCTTGGATGGACAAGGAACTGTTTCACACGGGTACCCTTCAAGTAATATGCAATTTTGGAAGGTGGGCCCCAAATCCTATTTTGACAATACATTTTAAGTTTGAAGATTTACACATCATTTTATGTCTCAATGGATGCCCTATTCTCAAGTGCTATGAAAAACAAAGAAACAGCACATCCTCTAGCTGTTCTCTGCTGTGGCTTGTTCAACTACCCACTAATTTTACTCCGAATTTCACCTCAGCAATCCTGCCAGTTCTATAACCCCATTTTTCTTAAATAGAAACCATGAAATTGGGGCTGGAGAGATGGCTCAGTGAAATAAGCACTTCCCTGGCAAGCGCAAGGGCCTCAGTTCAATCCCCGGTTCCACAAAAAAAAAAAAAAAAAAAAAAAAAAAGAAACCATGAAATATAAAATTTACACTCTGATCATAATACACTAAGAGATGTTAGTAAACTACGTATCTCTTACCCTGCTTTTTCCAGCCAAAATTATTTGTTGTTTTAATTCACCATAGATTAATTTTTATTCTATTGTCCTTTATGCATACGCAAAACTGGATATAATTTTATTCTGTTTTTAGCTGACATGAGTATATTTTAAATGTTATAAAATGTGATTATTCTAATGGTGCTGTTTTCATAAATTTGACTATAAACTACTCTATAAATTTTTGTAAAATCTTGGATATGGTGATGCATGCTTATAATCCCAGCACTCTGGAGGCTGAGGCAGGAGGATCACAACAAATTTTAGGCCAGCACGGGCTACACAGTGAGTTTAAACCCAGCCTAAATTGCACAGCAAGACCATTACAGTTGGAAGGAAGCCAGATATGGTAGTGCACACCTGTAATCCCAGCACTTGGGAGGTTAAGGCAGGAGGATTGCTGTAAATCAGAGGCCAGCCTCTGCTACATAGTGCGTTCAAAGCAACCTGAACTGCATAGTTAAGACCCTGACTCAAAAAAAAAAAAAAAAAGAAAAAGAAAAAACTCTTAACCCTGTATTCTGGAATTTTTCTTTAAAAAAATACTTTTTGTTGGCCAGAATTTTAGGTTTTTGTTTTTAATATTACCAGCAATTTTTATTTCCTATTCACACCACACACACACACACACACACACACACACACACACACACACCCATAAGGACTTCAAGTTTCTAAGTTGCCCAGACTAGGCTAGAATTTTTTATTTCTTTTGTCTCAGCCTTCCAAGAGTACTGGGATTACAGGCATGTCCACACCCAGTTCTCATGAAACTCTTTAACAGTTAATATCTTCAGTACTGTTACTCACCCATGAGAAAAATCTCCTTAGGAAAAATAAAACACAGAAAAGGACAAATAAAATCTTGCTAATCCTAAAGGCTGCTACACAATGACTGCAAGCAGTAATTTGTAGTTCACATTTAAAAACACCAATTAAATAATAGTTTCCTACTAGTTTACTAGAACCCACTAAAGCTGATTATATGTATCTGCCATTCAGTTTGATTCTTTTTTTATAAATTTGTTCCAAAGATTGCTATGAGCCTGCCAAATAAAAAATGATGAAAGTACTTAAATCTTGTCACCAAGCAAGTAATTCCCTTGCATGTGGCTGATCCAGCTTTGGAAATGTGCAAATGCATAGTATGTAACATATATGTTTAAGGCTCAGGCAACTGAGAGGATTTATCGTACCCAGCAAAGGGCTGGGGCTGAAACACAAATGGCATTTTATCTGAAGGAACTAAAACCATCCAATGGCTGCACTTTGAAAAGACAATAAATATGACACAGAAAACAAAGGAAATCACAAAATGCTTTCCTTTAAAAAATGTACTTTTTTTCTTATAAAAGCAGAAAGGACAAAGTCAAATCAAAGTATTTTAACAGAAGAATGACATGGCTCTATATGCTTTCAAAAGGCACCAGAAAATAAAGCTCATTTTGATAGGTAAATTAGGTCATTTATTTTTTCACAATAATTTCTTCATTCTCATGACACAACTAAGATCTATTTGACTGCTCCCTAGAAAAAGTGGTTAATAGTCCTATGATCAACGCCAAAAGCCTGACTTGATTAAAGGGATATTTCAGAGTTTTTAATGCCTTTCCTCTTTGAAGAGTGTATTCTGTGAGACTAGCATCCATGTGGGTACTTGAAAAAGAGCACTGATAGTGAAATAACAGTCTGCCTGTTCTTGTTTGTTTTTTACTGACATGTGGGTGTTTATAGTCAGCTCTCGGGACACCTACTCCTGATTCTTTCACTATCAGGCCAGTAGCCTCACCCTTTGCACCTCCTATGGCTCTGAAGGCAATGCCTAAGTCACTGTATGGGGAAAAAAACCATAAAAATAACATCATTACGTACAAGATTTGCCAACATTAATACATCCATAAAACTGTAAGGAAGTTAAAAGGCACCTTAGTTGGAGCTACAGAATAATAGTGTTATAACCTAGGTTGAAACTAAAAATGCACAGCTTTCTACAACTGTTATCTATAAACTGCAGTGTTTGTTAATACAAAAGAGTCACCAAGAAGGACAAGCATCTAAATCCAAGAGTCTCTTGAGTGTGTTTTACCAAAGGTTATATTACAAACTGTCACCCATAAAAGTGCAAAATAAAAGATTAATGCAGGTCAAAATTAAGAGTTCTTGCAACATTGGCCAAAAGCAGCAAACAGCTGAACAAGGCCATGCATGCACTGTCACTAGCAATAAAGTCGTACTGTACTTATGACAGATTCTGAGTAAATGACATATAATGGAGATCAAATGTATATTTTTTTCAAAAAGGAAATATTTTATAAAAGATATATAGCATGAAATCACATTACACTGACATTTAGCTATATTAAATGTAAATTTTATGATGACATCTAGAAAACTATCACTTTGCTTTTAATGAACACTACTTGTTAGAGCAGTACATAGTGTTCCTTCAAACCAAGATGATTTTTAAAAGTTTAAGCCCCTAATGTATGCTTTTGGAAAACAATGCATTATGCTTTTTTCAAGTTGGTGCGATGAAGAATTTGTTAGAAGTACAGCTTCTGGAAGATCAAGAAAGGAGGACTTACATTTCACTCTATATGTCCTCTTAACGCTACAATTTCTCACCAGGTGATTTATTACTTAAAAAAACTTGACAAATTAAAAAAATAACTACTGGGAAAATAAAAGCATGTTCCAGTTTAAGATCAATGCCAAACTTCTGAATGGGGCCATAATACTCTGCATCTCTCACAACACTTTTGAATTAACCACATGAACATGAATACAAACAAATGTAGATTCATCACAAAATATAAATGTGTTGGTCACAATTATGTAGAAAAAAATAAGCCGTAATATCTGTTTTTCCATGTCAGCCCATAGTATCTTACTGGAAGTTTCTCTAAAATTAAAACAAGTCCACTAATATAATTGAAAAGAACACTTCTGCATTATGAAACAGAAGATATGGGGTTCAGAGGAGAACCCATCTGAGTAAGGACTTTGTCCAACCACTGAAGAGGCCCATGAAGATGAATCTCTATCCAACACGGGGTGCTAGTGACATCCTGCCGGTGATACTCTGCTCCCCAGCCCTGTGAAAACAAACAGGTATCACAAAAAATCTCTCTTCAAATCGTCAACCACTCTAAACCAACTTTAACAATAAATGATAGTTTTAACATTAAAGATTTTCCTTTATGTATTTAAGTGGAATGTCATAGGTGAATGTAAACAATTATGACAAAACCTATCTTTGCACTCAACATAGATTCAAAAGCAAGACAACACCTACATTATTAAAAACTATATGAATTTGTAAATAACAAAATTCTTAAAAAAAAATCCATGTGGCCAGGTAGGTTTCAAGTTCTTAAACACTTTTAAAAGGTCATACAATATTTTTTTTCTTTTCAAAGTTTTATTGATAAACATATAGCAATGAGACAGTTTCAAATCAAATCGAAAGTACAGTTTCAACAAATAATACACTGTCTTTTCTTTTTTTAAAGGTCATACAATATTTCATAATAAAAATATTAATATTTCTGCAATGAGATATACTTATTAACATAAATAAAACCCACAAACACCTCACGTCACTTCATAACAGACTTTGTAACCAAAATTTTGGTTTTGAGGGTTTAAAAAATAAAATACGAGGGGCTAGGGAATAGCTCAGTGGCATAAGCGCCTGCCTGGCAAGTGCAAGGTTCTGAGTTTGATCCCCAGTACCAAAAAGAAAAAAAAAATCTTGAAAACAAAACACAATTAAATGAGACACAGTAGACACTGACTGATGTGTTCATGAGTAATTTAATGTCATCATATAGCCTTTATCCTTAAAGGTGAGAAAATGAGCTGACACACTAGTTTACAATTCTATATAAAAATTAAAATAGAAAATTTTTATTGTCTTCAATTAATCAAATTCTCTATCATACTGCTTGTAGTAGTCCTAGCCCAAGAAAACAAGGAGAATAAGAAAACGAGAAGATTAGGGAAGATGAAGGAGTAGAGATTAGAATAAATATAGGGAGGAGGAAATATCTTTAGGACAACTGATACATAGTAATACACATGCAACAAAGCAGCAAGGAAATACCAAGCCTTAGTGCCAAAAAGAAAAATTCCTACAAGCATATGATACTTTTTTCTTCCTGGACTACATCTTAAATCTTTGAGAACTACGTGGATATGGTTTAGAAGATGGATGGACAGATGGATGGATGGACAGATATCACTAAAATCCATTCCAAATGTTTATGAATCATAATCTTTAGAATGTTCAATAAAATTAGGCTAAGGGCATAAATTTGATAAGCACGAACTTTGCAAGATCCTCAAAATAAAGCTTAGATATAAGTAAAATAATTTTAGTATCCTAATTCCATTAAGTCACTCTAATACAATCTAATAAAGCTGTAAAAGCTGAGACTCAAAAAAGTCATGTAAATATTAATTACTTTTTAGTAATTTAATCTTTTAACCAGAATTCTTCATTAACTCAGCCACTATTCAGTAGTAATATCAAAATCAAAATCAATCATGCATTTTATAACGAATGGATTACAAAACAAAATCTTAGACCTACTGTGGTTACAATTAAAACCTAGTAAATCAGGTCAAAAGTAATGACCATGTTTTATTTTAACAAAACTTTGTACTATAACCTACAGACATACATAGTTCCACTGACTTGAATTGCATTACACATCACAGCCACTCACCTTGACAAAACTCATTCGGATGGTGCACATTTTGGTGAGCTCATATACTGCCTCAAACCCATGGTTGACAGACTGAGCTAGAAGCTGAGCAAACTCCTGATTGTTAAAAATTTTGAGGCTGCAGCTGCTGGGAATCTTACACACAGTGGTGGGATGAAAGCCGTGATGAAAATTGCAGTTCCTACTCTGTACAAATATGCTGCTGTCACTGAGACACTCGGCATACACCTCCCCGCCAACATAGTACAGATGAACACCTTGAAAAGATGGGCAGCAGGAGAGTCATCTTAACAAAGAATGACAACGACACCCAAGAGGTTGTTAATGATGCAGCCAACATTTCCAGAAATCCACAGCAAACTCTCAAAAGTCTTTGGATAGAAGCTACCACTAGATGGCCTTCTGTCACTAAAGATACTCAAAAGATTATTGTCTGCCTCAATCTAAAACTGTCTTCAAACTACTAAGAGATAAGCCTCAAGTTAACAGGTTATTTATTAAGTTATCCACTTGGGCTTTTTCTTTTTTAGCAATCATTTTATCATCTCTATGAATAAGATAACTAAAAAAGTGCCCTGAAACTGCCTTTTCATGAGTCCTTTCAAAGAGTGCCTGGTACTAGTAAAACTGTTAAAAACAACAAAGACACCAGTTTAAAAAAAAAGAGGTAAAAAAAAAGCAAAAACCCTCTCCCTAAAGCATATATGTAATTTCAGGGCACAAGAAGAGCTGTTAAATAACAGATTTACACTGCTTTAAAAAGTTTTTATATTTAAAAAATATATATAATACATGAAAACACTTTCAATGCTAAAATTCAAATTATGGCCAGGTATTATGGAACGCATGTGTAAGCCCATCACTCGGGAGGCAGAGGAAGGAAGATCACCTTGAATTTGAGGCCAGCTTGAGCTACATAATGAGTTCAAGGCTGGTCTGAACTACATATTTCAAGATCCTATCTCAAAACAAAAACAAAAACAAAACAAAACAAAACCCTCAAGTTATATAACTAAATCTAGAGTCACCTAATATTTTCCCAACACTTCCTTCCAACACTTCAAATTTTTCTCCCTCAAAGGCACAAACTGCTGTCAATCTGCTGTACAGAATTTCAATTTTTTTAACACATACTTCATTATACATATATGTTCCTCAGAAATATTTTTGTGTTTTTATGTAAATAGAGTATTCTTTTTTAAATGTAAAAGGTAGCACATAATCATCACAAACTTGATCTTTCATCTTAACCAGTATTAGAGATTTTACTATGCTCCAAAACATAAATCTGCCATTGTTCGTATATCCTAAATATTGTGTACAATTCTAAATGCACATACATAATTTTTGTTGTCTGTTGATGGATAACTTCTCAAACACTTCTTTTCAGCACCATCTCTGTACATAATATACTTCAGTGCTTATGCAAGTCACAGAAATGTATCAAGTTGTGATTATTTAAAAATGTATCTTGTGGATTGGGAAGATAGCCCAGCATTCTAAGTGCTTGCCTGGCAAATACAAGGACCCGGGGTTCAATCCCCAGTACTGCATGCTGTGCTGGCTCCAGAACCCTGGGCATACTTTGCTGGCCACTGAAACCAGAAATGGTGGCACATGTCTGTAATCCCAGCGCTGGGGAGGCTGAGACAGGAGGATCACTACAAGTCAGAGCTGAATAGTGAGACCCTGTACCAAATAAATAAATAAAAGATTTTTTTAAATGTATTTTGCTTCTGAGCAAATAAAAATGGCCCATGAACAAAAGGATCCTAGAATGATATACTGAGGAAAAAAGAGAAAACTGACTATATAATTTTAAAATTTACCAACTAGATTTCCCTGCAAGTATTTTTACTGTCATAGAGAAGGGGGACTATGATTGCTGGTGAAAGATTAGAATTTAATAATTATGGTATTTATAGAGTATCTTTATTTTTTTTATTTTTTTTATAGAGTATCTTTATACTCTATAAATAGATATAGTAGTTGGAAGGCTGTATGTTCAATCCCAAGTATTACAGGGGAGAAAAAGAACATGAAAACAAAAATTTCCATTCTCTTTTGACTTCCTTTCTTAACTTACCATGATATTTTTGGGACTTGAACTCAAAAATAACTATGACTTATGGATTGCAGACATAAACCACTGCAGTTGGCTTCAACATACTTTTGGCCATACTATATTCTTCCTTAAGAAATCTCATTATGATTATATCTTCCTACTGTTACAATTTTAGTTTTTGCTTTGTTTCATCCCCCTCCCCCAGCTATTGTTCCTATTAATGCATACAAGTAAAGTACTTCAGCCAGTGATAAAAGCTCAATAGCACAAGTGCCTATCTGGCAAGCACAAGGTCTTGAGTTCAAGTCCCAAAAATATCATGGTAAGTTAGGAAAGGAAGTCAAAAGAGAATGGAAATTTTTGTTTTCATGTTCTTTTTCTCCCCTGTAATACTTGGGATTGAACATACAGCCTTCCAACTACTATATCTATTTATAGAGTATAAAGATACTCTATAAATACCATAATTATTACATTCTAATCTTTCACCAGCATTCATGTGTTCAATAAATACTTGTGTAGTTCAGGAACCTGTTGTACAGTTTAGGAGCAATAGTTGTGAATAGGGAAAATTCTTGTTCAGCTTGGCCCTTTTTATTTTGGGACAGGGCCTTGATAAATCATTTAGTTGCTTGGACTGGACTCAAACCTATGATTCTCTTACCTCAGTTTCCCAGAGTTCAAGGATTGCAGACATAAACCACTGCAGTTGGCTTCAACATACTTTTGGCCATACTATATTCTTCCTTAAGAAATCTCATTATGATTATATCTTCCTACTGTTACAATTTCAGTTTTTGCTTTGTTTCATCCCCCTCCCCCAGCTATTGTTCCTATTTTTTAAGTCAAAGAAACAAAAAGCAGCAAGGTGTAAAAACAAGGTGTCTCAAGAAACATGGAATACATTTATTCTGCCTAGGATAGGTTTCTTTCTTGACCACTAGATACATAAGATTTTGGCACTTTACTGACCTACAAAAGTTGCCTTGTGTGTTGTTGTAACTACATTGCAGGATAAATTATAAATAGAACCTTGTTACCTGAATTTTAAAACTGGTGGGGGAAGTGGAGTGGGGTATGAATCCACTAAAGACTTTTGTAATTCATGCTGGGTTTCCTACCTCTCACTCCAGTGCTCTGGTACTCTCCAGATGATTATAGATCATCACAGTTAAGATTATTATGGAGCAATTTCAATTAAAGATACTCTAAATAACATAATTATTAAATTCTAATCTTTCACCAGCATTCATGTGTTCAATAAATTCTTGTATAGTTTAGGAACTTGTTGAACAGTTTAGGAGCAATAGTTGTAAATAGGGAAAATTCTTTTTCAGCTTAATATTCTAGTCAATATACCAGTGAAAATCCACAGAAATATGATTTCAGATCTTCAGTGGTACACAGAAAAACTAAGCAAGATAAGGGAACTCATCATGTCTTCATTTTTTTTTAACTAATTCTTCAATATCCACAACTTGAGGCAGTGGTCATGGCTTTACATACTTCGTATGCTTCTAGCACCCTCACACAATACCTGGTACTCCAACAGTAAAACAAATGAATTCAACTGAAGGTAGAAAAATGCAAGATTACCTTTTCCAATATGTCGTCTAGTGTTTTCAATCGTTGAGTTACGATTAACATTTGACAATAATCCCAAGCAGAATCTGCTTTTGTTATTTGAAGGGTCTGTGAATCCATCCACTAACACACTAGTAGATGATGCATGAAAAGCTTCCCCAACACGGTTATTTAATTCATAGTAGACAATTGAACACCAATGTTTGGGCTCTTCATAAGCAACAGGCTGAACATCTATGAGCAAACATGACAAAAAGTTTAAGAAATGACTACCAGAAACTCCAGATTCACTGTGTTTAATCTTTAACCCAACAAAAGCATTGTATGGAAAAAAATATTATTTCAATTGTCTCACTTTGAATCTAACACAACACCACCGACTGAGTGGCTTAAATCATTTTTTTTCCACAGTTCAAGGATGGGAAGTTCCAAGACCCAGGCATCAGAAGATGTGATGTCTACCTAGGACTCACATCCTAGTTTGTAAGTAGATAGCTGCCCTCTCATATACTCATAAGGCTTCTCCTCAAGTGTGTGATACAAAGATTCAAAGATCTGCCTGTTTCCTGTCTGATAAGCACAACTAATACCATCACGAGGTCCGCATTCTCAGAACTTACCTATACTTCAGCCACCTCTCAAAATTTCTGTATCCAAATACCATCACCTTGGGTCCATTAGCATTTAACTCTGCCCTCCTACTACTCATATGCTTTTCACATGAAAAAAAAAAAAGCATTACAGCCCAAATCCCTCGGGGTATTAACTTAGACCAGCAAAAACTATGAAGTCTAAAGTCCAATCATCCAATAAGAAAAAGATGAAACTGGAACAAAATTCCAAGTGAAATTCCTCCCCAGTCATAGCATATGAAACCACACAAGTTGTAAGCTGTAGGGAACTGCACCCTCAAGGCCCCATGCACCCTTGATCCCATGGCTTCAATCATCCTGCAGCAACTAGAGCATGGGCCCTGAGGATCTATCTCTGCATCCTTCAGTTTTGAGGAATAGCACAAGCTTACAGCCAAATAGCTAACTTCTCTGTCTTACAGATCTCAGAAGTTCAATAGCTTTCCTCCTGTCCTCTTCAAGTCATACCAGCTGTGTCCTACTGAGGTGACTAACCAGGTCTATGGGTGACATCCACACTTATCTCCCTATCAAACATATTTTCTCATTTCTGAAATATGGACAGGATGAGATTTTTCTAAATCTTTAAATTCTGGTTCCTTTTGCTTAACAATTGCTTCTTCAATTCACTGCTCTCTTCCCACACATATTTTATTTACTATGAGAAGCCAAGAGGAACAAGACTACTATTTCAAAACTTTGCTCAGGAATCCCAACTATATATCCAACTTGACAGTTTAAAATTTTACTTTCCACAGAACACTACAACATGAAAACCAGCCAAGTTCTTTGTCATTGTTTTAATAAAGGCAGCCTTTTTTTTTACCTTTTCCAATAACAATATTCATATCTGTAACCTCAAAACAATCTACTTTAACATTTATATTTCTAACACTATATACAAAAACATATATTCTCTTACAAAAAAGGAAGCAATCTTTATGGCTCTCCTCTTTTACTTTTTATGTTTTTATTTATTGATTTATCTGGTACAGGGTCTCGCTACACAGCTCACACTCACAGTGCTCCTCCTGTCTCAGCCTCCCCAGTGCCACCACACCTGGGTCCTTGCACTTGCCAGGTAGGTGCTTAGACTGCTGAGCTATCTCTTCAGCCTTTCTCTTTTACTTATAAGTCCTCAGCAGCAGAATCATGTTTAATAGCCCCTTAATAACAGTATCAGATTTTCCACCACACACCTCAAAATTATTCTAACCTCTATACAGTGTCTAGCTGCAAAGCCACCTCATACTTCTGGGCACAGTATTTGTTACAGCAGCACTCCACTTCTAGGTACTAAATTCTGTTTCAGTTGATTTAGGCTGCTACAACAAAATACCACAGGCAGAGTGGCTTACACAACAGATATGTCCTCAAATTTCTGGAGGCTGGTATCTGAAGATTTAGGTGACAGTAGTATTTCCTGGCTTGTACACAGTCACCTTCTCACTTTGTACTCACAGTGCCTTTCTTTATTTTGTGTTAAAGGGTAGAGTAAAAGATACACAAAAAGGGATCTCTTCCTCATCTTATAAAGGCACTAATCACACCATGAGGACTTATCCTCACTCACAACCTCATCTACCTCCCCAAACGTCTCATTTCCATACAACACCAATTCAAAAAATGCATAAATAAACAAATAAATAATTATCTAAACATTATGGCCAGTGAGATAGCTCAGCAGTCTAAAGTGCCTGCTTAGGCAAGCTTAGGCAATCACTCAGAGAACACAGTTTGATCCCCCTGGTACCACATGCCACACCAGCCTGCCCCCCAGGGGACAAAAACAAAAAAAAAATAATTATCCAAATAACACCAGCTGTGAGGATTAAGGCCTCATAATATGAACTTGGGGAAGACATAATTCTGAACATATTAGCAATATCTTTTTTTAAATTATGCTTCTCAGAGAATCTACTTTAGGCTTAAATTTGAGATAAAAACTTTTTCAGCAACTAAAGACTTAATAGTACTATTATCTATAACATTATTCTTAAAAAAGTTGAACTAAAAAACACTCTCTGCAAACTAGAAATAGAAGTATTTCACAGGAGTCATCCTTGAGTTGCTACTTGTCCTAGCAGTAAATGTTCTAGTTTCATTATTATGTATGATGGGTTTTCTGTGTTTATTTTTGGTTTTGCTTTTGTTTTTTTGAGATAGGATCTCCCTATGTAGCCCAGGATGTCCTTGAACTCCTGGTGATACCTCCTACCTCAGCCTTCCAAGGGCTGAGATGCGCCACCACACCTAGTTTCTAAAAGTTTCTTTTTTTTTCTTTCTTTCTTTTTTTTTTTTTTTTTTTTGCAGTTCTAGGGATTGAACTCAGGACCCCGCACTTAACAGACAAGCGTTTATTCTACTGAGCTATCTCCCAGGGCCCTCTTCAAATGTTCCTATCACCACAAATATTCAAAAAACACATAAACATTGTTTGAAGAAATTTGCAAAATGGCAAATATTACTTCTAAATCTGTTACAATGTAAGGAGCTTAAGGTCTCAAAGTAGCCTTAAAGCCACATCATCAGCTTTTTTAAAAAATGCCAGAAGACAGTAAGAAATCTACAACCAGATACCAATTCATACCCATAAGGATGATCATCATTCTACCCTTACCCCACCCCACTCACAAAAACTCAGAAAATGACTATTGGCCCGGATATAGAAAAACTGTGATCCTTATGCACTTATGGTAAGAATGCAGAATGATGCAACTGCATAATTTCAAACACTTTCAAAAAAACAAACATATAATTATCATATGACATCAACTCAATTCCAAAGTACACAATGCTCAAACACATTGAAAGCAGAAACTAAAAACAGAGATGGTATCACTGTAAATCACAATAGCTAAAACAGAATAAAAATGCAATATCCCTCTATAAACAATGGATTAAACAACATGTGCATACATGTACAACATAGCATTATTCAGCCTTAAAAAAAGGAATTCTAATACATACTGCCTTTTTTTTTTTTTTTTTTTTTTTTTTTTTTTTTTTTTTTTTTTTTTGCGGAACCGGGGATTGAACTCAGTCCCTTGCACTTGCTGGGGAAGCACTTATTTCACTGAGCCATCTCCCCGGCCGGTACTGTAGGGTGGATAATCCTTGAAGTCACCATGCTAAGTAAAATACACCAGCTACCAAAGGAAATACAAACATTATATGGTTGTATTTAGATGATATAACTAAAACAGGCAAATTTATAGAGCCAGAACATCAAATAGTATTTTTCAGGGGCTAGAGGAAAAGGAATGGGGAGTTTTATAATGGGATGAGTTCTGCATAGGATGATAAAAAAGCTCTGGGAATGGACAGTGACAATGGATGCATAATACTTGAGCATACTTAATGCTACTGAATTATAAACTTTAATAACAGAGCTCTAATATATATAAAACAAATAAACAGAACTGAAAATAGAAATACACAGCTTAACAATAATAGTTGAGGACTTCAATCTCCCATTGTCAGTAATTAATAGAATAATAAGAAAACAAAAATAAGGTAGGTTACAGACAATTTGAACTCCAAAATTTAAAGCTACTGTGATTCAAAAGACATTATTTTAAAAAATGAAAAGAAATACAGCCTGGGAGCAAATATTCACAAACATTTTACAGCACATAAATTATACTTCACAAAAGATTTTTAAAAAGTGGCCAGCATTCAGGACATAGATCAATGGTACAGTACTTGCCTAACATGTAGGAGGCCCTTGGTTTAAATCCCTCATATTGCAAAAAAAATGCAAGTAAGTAAAAGTGGCCAGGAAGTTAAAAATCAATAAAAATAACAACAAAATAAGTATAATGAGTGCTATACTTCTGTTACCTCTGCTGGATATACTGGGCATAACCTGAGGAATCATATTATTGCTGGTATCCATAGGCTGGGAATTATCCTGACCCATCTGATCATCAGGTGGCATATAGGCAGGTGGAGGTGTATCAGCTAAAAAAAATAAAATGAGACAAGTCCCAAAAGAACACTTGAAATCTTCATCCTCTAAAAGCATTTTTTAAAAGTAAAGAGTACCAGTAAGGTTCATTACTCAACATTACTCACAAAAAAATGTAGCATCCTACCTATCCTAAAACAGAAAAGTCAGCTCATATAATAGTTTTGGTTTTTTGCAGAACCGGGGATTGAACGCAGGCCCTTGCACATGCCAGGGAAGCGCTTATTCCACTGAGCTATTTTTCCAGCCCTTATCTAATAATTAATAGCTATAAAAACCCACTACAAGCCCACATTTATTTAGTACAGATCTCTGGTAATCTATGATACTAGGAATACTAAAATTCACTGAAAAAGAATTAAAAAATCTTTATTTTCATAGACTCACATGCTCAGAGAAACTGCTACTATGGAGAACAATCTGTAGGACAAAGATTATCCAACCTTTTTTTTGTGTGTGTGTATGTGTATGACATTTTGAAATTAACCATCACATACTGTACACTGTCAAGTAAAACTAGAAAATAAAGCTATCTCCCTTCAAAATTTGTCATCAACACTAACAGCAACTGTCCAATATATTTGCAATGTCCAAAAATGGCTGTTGTATCTTATTAAATGGCTAAATAATGAGCTTAGAAAACTGAATGTTAACCACAGAATCTTTCAGGTGCCAGCATTCATAATTGAAATACATTTATTTTGCAAAAGCAACAGCTAAACTTTTGTCTCAGTAACTGTAGAACAATGCAAATTATCTTTCATACCAAGGTTTATACAAAATATATTCTGAGGCAGAGCTACAACTAGCAATGAATTCCTAATACATTAAACCAAATTTAATTCTACTACTTGCAGGTTTTACAGAAATAGTACTTGACACAATGAAATCCAACTTGATCTCAAAATCAAATTACATAAAAAATGTACAGTAAAAAGCGAGTAGCTCTTATATAAGTTTATCTAGAGAACCAATAATAAGAATGATTACTGATTCTCAGGAATTATTTTTCTTTTCTTTTCTTTTTATTTCTTTTCTTTTCTCTCCTTCCTGTATCAGTGAAGTCTTACCTGGGAGTTGAAAAGGACTTCCTGGTCCAGAACTTGCTGGGGAGTTGGGATAGGTACTGCTAGCAGGGGATGGGGGGTAGGGACTATTTGGAGATAAGGGAAAAGGAGTGTTATTGGGCTGATGGAAAGAATCTGGAAACGTGGCATTTTGTGGCATGTGCGGTTCATTGTGGCTCAGATTTCTAAACTGAACCAGAAGGCTGTGTTGTGGGTTGAATTCGTTATGACGAGGCACTAATACCGGAGGTAAGACTGAAAGACAAAAATCAAAAGTAACTGGTCAGGAATGACTAAAAGAAATGTACCATTCAGCGATGAAGGGGTTGGTAGAAATGATTCAGGTAAAACTGTAAACCTGTTAAAAGTTTACTTTTAGAAAGGGCTATTTTATAGAAACCTGAGTATATATTTACATTAAAAACCAAACCCAAAATTCTTGTCAACACTTAGCCTATATAAAGGATTCTGGGAGCTAAAAAAGATACCACTTCAGTTCTATGACATATGGGACATATTTAACAACTATAGTACAATCAAAGTTTAAGAAGTAAGTACTCTCAGATAGCAGAAAAATCAAACAAAATATTATGGAAAAGACAAACCCAGGTGGACCTTAACCAACCAGGAGAATTTCACATGAAAGTGTTAGGGGCAAGTACAGGAGGAAAAAAGAGACAGAAAAGAGTGCTGGCCCAGGCAATGATCTAGGTGCTAAGACTACAGAGTTGAGGTGAGGGAAGTGGATATCCTGCAAACTTGCACTTCCAATTCTGAATACTTTCATCATTCTCACTTTGAGAGATTTCAAACTTTAAATTCTATAGTAAGCTTTTCCCTGAGAAAAACAGTAATATTCCCCAAGTATAATTCCTCCATTCAAGATCAGTCTTCTAAATACTTTAGTAATAAAAATATAGTAATGCCTTGTTTCATGAATGCTTCTGTTTGCAAACAACTCAGTTCACAAACAAAAGCATTCAGTACAATTTTGCTTCTGTTTTCAAATTCTGCATCAGCTGACAAGACCACAATGGCTATCTTCTTCACACACACAAATGCGGCAATCTTCCCCAAGTCATAAAATAAATTAAGTTCTTAACCCAAGGTGCCACTCTATATACAATAATGTCTAAACATTTGAAGAAATTTCTTTAAAAAGTTGAGACATTAACCTTATTTCCATGTTCACTTTATCTAAAGACCCAATATCAACCACATTTAAACACCTGGTTATTATTCCCTACAGGAAACTTGATACTAATTCTCCAAACTCTTAATATATAATTCATCTCTTTTACAACTTTCTTGTATTTGTCAATGTCATTTTGATTCTGAGAGGCTGAGGAATTAGGACCACAAGTTCAAGCCTGGTCTGGGCAACTTAGTAAAACCATGTTTCAAAGTAAAAAATGAGAGCTGGGGATGTAGCTCAGTGGCACAGCACTTGCCTGGCAGGCATTATGCCTTCAGTTTAATTTCTGGCACCAAAAAAGAAAAAGTGAAAAATGAAAAAGGAAGCTGAGGATATAGATCAGTAAAGGCCCTAGGTTCGATCCCCAGTACTGCATGAATGAAATTAATGAATGAATGAATGGTTTTTTAAAACTTTCACTGTAATATCATTTAGCATCAATAAGATGAATTTGATTTTCAGTTAACTAAATCATAGCCTGGTTCCCCAAAGGAAGGACACTGTACACAACAAACTAAGGGCTCTTCAGTCAGTATTTGTACTATTTCATCTTTTACAGATTACTGCACAAATGTGGTCAACAATGACCAAAAGTGTTTTTGTTATGCTGCGTATTGGCAATTGCTGTTTCCCTGAATGACAGGGAAGCTGCCATTGGAGAGCAGGACATTAGACTGCAAGAAGTTCTGTTTAGTTAGCTAATAATCTGAAAAACTTAATGAAATAACTAGAATTCCATTCAGTGAAGATTATGTTTTTGTTTTTGTTTTTTGTTTTGTTTTGTTTTGTTTTGTTGTTGTTATGGTCAGCTCAGCCTACCCTAGGGGTGGGGCTGGCATGGCATGTGGTGCTGGGGATCGAACCGAGGTCCCTGCATGCTTGCCTAAGCAGATGCTTTATACCACTGAGCTATCTCACCAGCCCCTTATTTCTTTTTTAAGGCAGTTAAAATAAGTGGCTTCCCTCCTGCTTGTATACTATCTGTGCATATGATTTTTAAGATTTTATTTTCATCCAAAATAGCATACAGAGTTTAAGAGAGCACAACACAAGCATATAAAAAAGGTACCAAGAATGACAATTTTTAGACCTCTCAGATCACTTTCATAAACAAATTTAAGTTCTTAATCATTTCTTCTAACATTTACTTGTATCTGTGTTGTTAAACAATGTTTTATTGTTATCATTAATTTGTGAAGACTTTTTTATAGACATGCTTTTACAGCAAATGGGGCAGGTTAAAGGCATGGGTCAACAAGCCCAGCTCTCATAGCATTTCTTTGAAGATTTTTTCTCTCTACCAACCCCCATGCTCTGTTTGCAAAACAAATTATTCTCGTAGAATAAATCTGAAATTGATTCTAGGCCATATAATGCTTAACTTAAGCACTTTTTCATTGCACTGACTCATCCAATCCTGGGAGGTAGGTAGTATTATTCTCATACTAACTCACAAAAAGGGTAATGACCTTAGTAGTATATAATAAAACCAGGATTCAAATGCAGTAAGTCTAGCTTTGGGATTCAGTCTTAACTACTTCGCAATATTGCCTATTAAACACTGCATCACCTAGACTGGCTATTTTTTTTACATCTATTGCTGCTTCCTAACCATATTCCAGTTTCTTTTTATGTTTCTGCCACACTTACTCTATTGCATACTAGTTGTATGATCTTAGGTTCCTTCTTAGATCTTAGCTTCCTTGTCTGTAAACTTACAAATACACTTAGAGGATTCTAAGGTTTTATTACCATTTTCTAAATCTATGAAAGAATCGATCACAAGGTTAAAAAGCACCCAGTCCATAAGTGCTCAATCATAAGATTAGAAAAGTATCCAGTCTATAAGTGCATAATGCTAATTTCTCTTAATTATCACCATTACTATTATTTTATTAACACAATACTATCAAATTATCCTCCCAATGTTATATTAGCTTGATCAAAGGGAATTACTAGTTAATCCAGCTAGTTCTCTGTCCCTTCCTCCAGGATATTTGAACTTTAGATCAGAAACAGGATTCTATAGTTTCCCTATATTAAGATTTAGGTTTTCTGGGAGGCCAGGGAGATGGCTCAGCGGAATAAGCGCTTCCCTGGCAAGTGCAAGGGCCTGAGTTCAATCCCTGGTTCCGCAAAAAAAAAAAAAAAAAAGATTAAGGTTTTCTGGAGACACTTAAAAGTATCAGACTATGCTTTTATCCTTTGTATAGGCCAGGGACAAAGTTCAATGGTGTAAGCATGTGCCTGGCAAGTGCAAGGTCCTGAGTTCAATCCTCAGTACCAAAAAAAAAAAAAAAAGTAGCCTTTGTATAAAATGATTATAGTGGAAAAAAAATGTTACCAAAGATTTCTGCTGGCCAATTACTAGTCACATCCTGGCTATGGAAATAAACAAAATTCCTAGACTTACTCCTAGCAAATAACTTGCTTAAGAGTTTTCAGGCATTTGTCCATTAAATCTTCCCATTTTCTATACCTCATCAATCCTTCAGGATATAAAGAAATCAAAAATCAGGGCTGGGGAGATAGCTTGGCAGTCTAAGCACCTGCCTGGCAAGCACAAGGACCCAGGTTTGATCCCTAGTACCACATGCCATGCTGGCCCCAGAACTCTGGGCATGCTGTGAGGGCTACCAAAACCAGATGTGGTGGTGCACACCTGTAATCTCAACACTGGAAAGACTGAGACAGGAAGATCACTATGAGTCCAAACTGCATAGCAAGACCCTGTACCAAATAAACAGATTTTTTTAATTAAAAAAAATCAAAAATCACCTCAAATATCATCTCACTCCAACTAAATCTCTTATTAAATTTCCTTAGAATGCAATCATTGTTATTCTTTTTTGCCAGTTTTCACAATATTATTTTCAGTCTTTTTTTAAATGTATTTAGTACAAAGTATATGGGTTTCACTACACAGATCAGACTCCTAGTGATCCTCCTGTTTTCAGCCTCCCAAGGTATGCGCCATCATGCTCAGTCTCAGTCACTATCTCAGTGCACTCTGGGGGCAGGACCAGCACGGCACACCAGGGATCAAACCCCAGTCCCTGTGCCTGCCTAAGTAGGTGCTTTATTTTTAATTTTTTCCCATAATTTTATTGATAAACAAATAGCAATGAGACAGTTTCAAATCAAATTGGTAGGACAGTTTCAATAACACATTGCATACATTCTTCCTAGTGGTTAATTGCTGTACAAGATGTGGACATGATATCCCATTTACAAACACCATTAGAACAAATCCCTCTATACATCTATCCTAGCCACTTTGAATACACAGATACAAAATGGACATTCATCTGTATACCCTTTTTTTGTTAAGTTCCGTTATTTGAATGTTATAGGTATGTAAACTCAGCAAAATATTCTAAAAGAGTCCAGTAGCCCATAATAGTATTGGGTCTTCCGCTTGACTGGCAATAAGTAGGTGCTTTAGTTAGTCCGCTGAGCTATCTGGCCAGCCCTTCGGGCTTTTTTTTTAAATCACATTGGGCTGATATCTCAATAGCAGCAGACTGATTCTAAGGCAGCCTTATGACGACAACAGCTGGGTATTCATGTATTTGGTAAATCTCTTCCCCTTCAGTGTATGTCCTGTGACTTGCTGCTCACAAACAGTATATGACAAAGTGAAAAGATGTATTTGGTTACATTCCATATGAATTCCCTTCTTAATAGAAAGCCCCCTCTTCCTTGTAAGCTTTGAAGAAACTGCCATGAATGTGAACTCTCTATGATGAAGGCTATGTAGTAAGCAATTGAATGCAGTCTCCAGCTGATAATCACCAAAAATCCAATGGCAAGGAGCTGAATTTTGTCAACCTCATAGTGAGCTCTGGAAGCAGATTTTTCCCCATCAGATAAAAGCCTGGCTCTGACCAACACAGACTGGAAGCTTCAAAAAAAAAAAAAAAAAATTCTACTAAGCTATGATCAGAGCCTTACCCAAAGAAACTGCAATAATAAATGTTTGTTAATTTGTTGTGCCATTGCTATCTCAGATGCTAGACTTATAATATGTCCCTAAATTTCATGCTTGTGTTGGAAACTCAATCACTAATGCAACAGTATTGAGATGGGGTCTGATAAAAGGAAATTAGGCAATGTTGTCATTTAATAGATTACTCATCATGAAACCGTGCTGTAAGTTCAGCCCCTTCTTGTGCTCTCTTGTCTTACATTCACAGACCATATGTTTTGCTATAACGCAGTCAGAGGACCCTCACCAGATACAGCCTATCTTGTGCTCCCTAGCATTTAGGACTATGAGCCAAATAAACACCTATCTTTTATAAATTACCCAATCTGGTATTCTGTTAGATCAGCAACAAATGAACTATCAGCTTATAGAATTCTTTATCAAAAAATATTTATTGAAAATTAGCTACCAAGTGCTAGGAAACTGCACTAATTCTGAGCATTAAAGATATAATAATAAGTGAGACAGAGAAAGGCAATACACTTGCCAGTCAATCAACTACATATCTAATGTAGAATCAACTAGTGATGATATTTGGGCAAAGACTAAATGGAGTGAGAACGTGTGTCATAAAAAGGTTATGTGAAGAGAGTACGCTAAGGTAAACTGCAAGACAAATCTAGACAGGAGTATAGCAAGTTCAAGAATTCAGTGTTGAAATCATCTGTTTTAAGTTTAATTTCAAAAATTCTGATTATCAGTATAATAGTACAAAATTTTTAGTAAGAACTGACATGATTTGACATATGCCATTTTAAATTCACTTTAGCTGCTGTGTAGAAAATGCAATGCGTTGGGAGAAAAAGATGCAGATAGACCAATTATGAGACTATTTGAGGTGAGAAATGGTAATAGTCTACTCCTGGTAAGAGGTGACTGCATCAAGACTTATTTTGAAGGTATAGAAAGCAGCATTTGTTTATAGGTCAACCATAAGACTTAAAAAGAATAAAAGATATCCTTTATATTTAGGGTAATTGCTATATGAATGAATACTGGTGCCATGTACTTCAATAGAGAAAATAGGCAAAAAACCATTGGTGGAAGTAAAGATTCTGCTTAGCCATACTGTACATAATGTTGATGAAACACTCAATTGAGCTGTTACATAACTAATTTTATACAAGGGAGAAACTGATTCCAGAATTGAAATTATGAGCATCAGGTTACAGATAATTTTAAAACACATGAGACACTTAAAGAATACAGATATATAAAAAAAAAAAGCCCAAGGACTGAGTACTATGAAACAGGAGGATAAAACAGTAAACATTTAGAGCAAGAATATCAGTGAAGTTAGACAATCAGAAGAGGAATATCTTAAAAGTAAAAAAGAGAAAATTTTTAGTGGGAAGGCAGAAGAGGAACTGTATCAAATGCTACTGAGAATAAAACTGTATCAAATGCAAGTAGAATAAAACTGAGAATGACCAACTGATATCTACGAAAGAAGTCACAAGTGATCTGGACATACAAAACTATAGGGAAGAAAGACTAACTCAAAAAAACAAGAAAGAATGGAAATGGAGATGTGGAAATAACCAAAGAATCCTATAAAATGACCAGAAGAAACAGTGTGGGAAATGCAGGTGGGGGGTATGTGAAAGAAATCAAGACAGGAATTCCTTTTTAACTTTTATTTTAGGATAGGCAATATCATGACATGCTTATATGCTGTCAGAAATAGTCTAGCAAAATGGAAAAAAACAGTACAAGGGAGAGGGATGCTACTGTAGGAACAAAGCTCTTGAACAGACAAAAAGGAACAGGATCCATTGTACATAGTGGGATTAATTCTTAGATAAAATAGATATAGGTCATCCACAGGAAAGGTATAGCATGTGTATGAGTGCTTACTGTATACAATGAACCAAGGTAAGTCACTTGGGAATAATATCACCTGTATTTTAAAAAAAGCTAACTTCAAATCCACATTCCTTCTAAGATTAAAGCTTTAAAAATGAAATAAAAGATCAATATACCTTGTAATTAATAAATCTAATTATATATAAATCAGATAACAGTTTTAAAAAAAAATTCTTTTCAAGGGAGTCAAACCTACCTGGACTCTCCACTCTCTTATAGTGGTATGGATTGATACAAACTTCTTTTTGTTTAGATCCAAAAGGAAATTCACAAATATCCAATGGTTTTAGCTCATGATGACTCTGCAAATCAGGCCACCGCCAAACACGACAATATATAACATGTGGTAAGCCTTTTCTGTGAGAAACCTGGAGGCGTCCATCTAAAGATCTGGGAATAGTGACACATTTGCTTGGCTGTCCTGGACTGCTCAAGGCTTTCTCCAGTTCCTCCATGGCACCCTTTTTCTTTTTTAGCTTTTTAACCAAAGCATCAACTGCCTTTTCTGCCCATTTTTCCTCCTCATCACCTTGTTTCCAGCCCAACAATCGTTTCACTGCTGGACTAGTAAAAGAAAACAAGCTGGCCATTGACGTCATTTGATATGAATCTTCAGAGACCTTCCTGTAACCAAAGTCAGTAGCTAGTGGCAGAACAGATCACAGGTCCTAAGCAGGAGTTCCAAGTAAAGAACAGTAATGACATTTATCTTCACAAAGGCCATATGCTTCTTTCATTGGTTCAAGTCCTAAAAGAGAAAGGGGGAAAGAATCCTAAATTAAACCATTTCATGTATATTGCTTTTCTTCTCTTGTCTGTAAACAAGAGAAGAAAAGTATTATAAGCAAAGCAAAACAAGTAAGTCTAGAAAAAATATTCTCTAAAAATTCTGTAACCACTCACTTCCTTCTTCATAATACAAAACTCTGTCAAAGGCAAGCAACATCCAAAAGCCCAAAAACAAAAAATATTGCTCTACCAAAAAAACAGGCTCCAGACTTATTGTCCTCAATGAGGCCACTAAGCCCTATATAACAGTCTTCTAAGATTTACTTCTGAAGTAGTACTTTCCTTCATTAAAATAAATGTTACAAACTAGGTCAATTCTGAACATATGTCTTGATCTAATCAAAAGCCCTAAGAGAAACCTAGCTCTTCCCTTGTCATTGTTCTTTTAAACATGTTTAGCCTACACAGCAAAAATAACCACTAACAAGAGTAGAGAGACAGCCTACAAAATGGGGAAAAAATTTTTACAAGTTACTCCCCAAATAAAGACTAACATCTAGTATATATAAAGAACTCAAAAAAATTAAGACACATTTAAAGACCCAATTAAAAAATAGGCATCTAAGCCAGGCATGGCAGTTGCATATACCTATAATCCCAGCACTTAGGAGGCTCAGGAAGCAGGATGCTGAGACTTCAAAACCAGCCTAAAATACATAGTGAGACCTTGTCTCAAAAACAAACAAAAATAAAAAGGCATCTGAAATGAATAGATACTTCTCAGATGAAGAAATATAGACAGACAATAACTACTTTAAAAAAACGCTCAACATTACTGGCCATTTGCAAAATGCAAAAAATACTGAGATGTCACTTCAGTTCAGAAAGAATGGCTATCATCAAGAAATCAGTAGCAAATGTTGGCAGGGCTGTGGGGAGAAAGAACACCTCTTCACTGCTGGTGAGGTTGTAACCTGATAGAACCACTATGGAAATCAGTATGAAGTTCCTCAAAAAACTCCTTTTAGCCCACCTGTTCCCCTTATAGTTACCTTCCCAAAGGTTAGACATCATACCACAGTAATGAATGTTTACATAAACACAATTCATAATGGTTAAATCTTGAAAATTTAGGAAACAGCCTATATGTCTATCAACAGATGAATAGATTAAAAATGTGGTACAATGGAGTGTTATTCTGCCATAAAAAGGATAAACAAGTCATATTTAGGAAAATAGATGCACCCTGAGAGCATATTGGTAAGTGAAGTAACTGAGCCACACAAGCTTAAATATCGCATTATCTCTCATGTGAAAAACTTAATAGACAGCCAGATAGGTAGATATAGATATAACAAAGTAAAAGATAATATGAAAGGAGAGAAAGAAAAACAGTATTGCAATATAGTGTAGACAATGTATCTAAAAATGTACATTAGCTTAATGCAATTGTCTTACGTATTTTATACATTCTTTGGCCTATTAGTCTGGTTTTCAATGTGTATATATAATTATCTTTATAATGTCTTATAAGATACATATATAAATGAATCTTATGCTGGAAAAATAAAACTAAATAGAGGGAAGAGGAAAAAGAAGAGAATTGAAATGTGTTTATGTAGATGTACCAATTCCCTATAGTGAACATAAACATTATGTACTACAAAGATAGACTAATAGAGACTGGAGATATAGCTCAGCTACACAGAGACAGAGACAGAGACAGAGACAGAGACAGAGACAGAGACAGAGACAGAGACAGGCAAAGAAAAAAACCAATAAAATGTTTATTTTTACAAGTCTTAGGCAAAAGCCGTGACACTATTCAAGTCATATTATTAGATACAAATTGTATTGAAAGTTGAAAGTTGTCATAAAATGTAACAAACCCTCAAATCATACAACACATAACTGCCAGAAAAGTGGTAAGCATCTATTTTTAAAAGTAGGAATACAAGTTTGAAGAGAATACAGAATTAACTTAAATGTCAACTTACACTTCATAATTTCAACTAGCTTCTATGATATCTGAAACAATATTAGTTAATGAAGACACTCTGTTGTTAAGAAAGGACCTGCTTAGGCAAGCTTAGGCAAGTGAAGGGACCTCGGTTCAATCCCTGGCACCACATGCTGCACCAGCCCTGCAGGCTGAGCTGCCCAGAGTCTGGGCATAGTGATACAAGCCTGTAATCCCAGCACTCGGGAGGTTGAAAGCAGGAGGATCACCATGAGTCAGAGATGTGTAGTGTGACCCCATAACAACTATATACATTTTAAAAAGAAAGAAAAGAACAGAACAAGAACAAGAATAAGAGGTTGTTATTGGCAACAACACAAGGAAGTGACATGCAGTGGTACTTTACTGTTAACAATAAAATCTTGCTTTTTTGTCTCAGCTGCCGACATTTCCTGCAGACTAAGGAAGACCCAGAAGATTTGGGGCCATGTGAGCCATGGCCATAGCCACATCAGCAAGCACCAGAAGCACTCCGGAGGCTGGGGTAATGCTGGTGGCACACATCACCACAGGATCAACTTCAACAAGTATCACCCAGGCTACTTTGGGAAGGTTGGTATGAGGCATTACCACTTGAAGAGAAACCAGAGCTTCTGCCCAACTGTCAACCCTGATAAATTATGGGCACTGGTCAGTGAGAAGACATGAGTAAATGCTGCCAAAAACAAGACTGGAGTAGCTCCCACCATTGATGTAGTGCAATAGGGCTACTACAAGGTTCTTGGGAAGGGAAAGCTCCCAAAGCAGCCTGTCATCATGAAAGCCAAATTCTTCATCAGAAGAGCTGAGGAAAAGATTAGGGGTGTTTGGGGGGCTATGTTCTGGTAGCCAAAGCCACTGGACAGAGGGCTCATTAAAATGCTAACAAATGGTTTTCAAGAAAAAAAAGAAAATCTCCTGGGCTGGGAACATAGCTCAGTGTCACAGTGCCTGCCTGGCAAGCGTAAGGTCCTAAGTTCAATTCCTGATACAAAAAGAAAAAGAGAGAGAGAGAGAGAGAGAGAGAGAGAGAGAGAGACAGACAGACAGACAGACAGACAGACAGACAGACAGAGACAGACAAGGATATGCTGGGGAGATAGCTGAGTGGCTAAAGCACCTGCCTGACAAGCTCAAGGTTCTGAGTTAGATCCCCAGACCAACAACAAAAATATCTCCTACAAGGGTCAGCCAAATAGCTCAGTGGAGGGGTCGGGGGTTCAATCCCCAGGCCTGCTGTCCCAGCCCTGCCCACAGGGCATGCTGAGACTACAATTCAAAGCCAGCACTGGGAAGGCTGAAAACAGGAGGATCACTATGAATCCAAGCTGCATAGTAAGACCCTGTAACAACCAAATACATTTAAAAAAGAAAGTAACAGTGAATATAGAAACAATACAACTAGCTATGGTAAAAAGTTTAAATGTGATACAGAATAAAAGTGTTGTACAGACATTACGAAGAATAAAATGGACACTAACTTTGGTCAAGGTACTTCACTTCTTTCTCTATTTCCCCATTTATAAAATGTGAATAATTCATTACAAGTAAATAACTTAGAACTGGAGGGTGCACAGAAAAAAATAAATGTTAACTCCTGATCTATTATCATCATCATCAATAAGTACCATATTATGTACTAACAGGAAAAATGTAAAGTTACTTGTTTATGCAACACATAATAATGACTGGAAGACACACAGACTAAATAATTCACTGTACTTAACTTTGAAGTGGAAGAAGGAGATCCCATATGATTTGTTCTATATACTTCCGAACTTTTCTTCTTTAAAATAACAGCTTCATTGAGCTACAAGTTTCATACCACACAATTTATAAACTTAAGTATAAGATTCAGTGCATTTTAGCACATTAACAAAGTTGAGCCATCATGACCACGATCAAACTTAGATCATTTTTGTTATTTTTAAACAAAACATTCTACCCACTAGCTATCATCTCTCAACCCCTCACCCTTAAATCTAGGCAACCACTGAGTTACTCTCTATCTTCATAGATTTTCCTATTCTGGAAAATTTTTTAAATTCAAAATAAAGGGCCAGGAATATAACTCAGCAAAGTGCCTGCCTGGCAAGCATGAGGTCATGAGTTCAATTCCTGGTACAAAAAAAAAAGAAAGAAAATTCAAAATAGACCATGCTCACAGCAAATATAAAGACCTTAACATATCCAAAAGGAAGGAAATCCTGCAAAGTGATCTCTCACACCACACCGGAGTGAAACTAGAAACCTGAGCATTACCCGCAGAATGCTAAAGTAAAAATAGTAATCTAAAATCAAATTGAGATGAACAGAAAGCTGCTAGAAAAACCAGGCAACACTAATGCCTACTACAAAAAGCATGGAGGTTATGCTCTGTAGAGAAGGATAGGGTAATAACTGTATTAGGGGCTTCTATTGCCAAAATAAAGTTCTGCCGATTGCTCTGGGTAGTTGCACAGTGGAAATCAGTTTGTGAAAATTCAAATGGTTGGGTACTAATAATGTGTGTATATTTCTGTGTAATTTTAATATACTTTCTTGACACTTAGAAAGCAGAGCCAGGCATGGTGGCACATATCTGTAATACAATACAGATGGATGGCTGTGGAAAGTTCAAGGCCAGCATGGGAAACATGCTGGTCTCGAAATAAAATTTAAAAAGGACCAAAGATAAAACTTGGAGGTAAAGCACTTGCCTAGCATGCACAAGGCTCTGAGTTCAACTCCCAGTATGAGAGAAAGGGAGACAGTGAGAGAGAGAATGGGGAAGTGGGGAAAGGGAGAAAAGGGGGAAGAAACAGAAAGAGAAAATGGGGTGAGAGAGACCTTCTCACAAGGACCCTCTTACATGCTTCTAGTGTCCTTCCACAGAACTTTTACACAAAAATACGCAAATATAAAAAAAAATTTTTTTTCTTATAAATTGTATACTGAAAAAGAACAAGGTGGAGAAAAATGTTACCAATATATCTTCAAAATCTTTTCATGTCAATACAATAAGAATTTCAACATTCTTT